TCCTCTCTTGAAAAGAGAGGTTAGCCAACAAAACACCATCGGATAAATAATTTACTATATCCGCGTACCACGGATGACTCGACACTTCACTCAATTGCTCATATGGAAAATTGTCACTAATGGTAACATGCTCGTGCAATGTGAGTGATGAATCGGAAGGAAAAATACGAGACAAATGATCAGTTACAACATTTTCACACCCTTTTCTATCACGAATTTCAACGTCAAATTCTTGTAAAAGTAAAATCCACCGAATAAGTCTCGGTTTCGATTGAGTTTTTCTCAAAAGATACCTTAATGCCGCATGATCGGAATGCACAATTACTTTAGATCCTAAAATATAAGATCTAAATTTATTGAGAGAAAAAACTACGGCAAGGAGCTCTTTTTCGGTCGTCGTGTAATTTAACTGAGCGCCGTTTAAAGTCAAACTAGCATAATAAATCACGCGAAGTAATTTATCAACTCGTTGACCTAAAACGGCTCCAACAGCAAGATTTGACGCATCAAACATTATTTCAAAGGGTAACGACCAATCCGGCGCAATCACAATAGGTGCTGTTACGAGCTTATTTTTCAACTTTTTGAAAACATCTAAACATGCATTATCAAAAACAAAAGGCACATCGTTAGCAAGCAAACGGCATAATGGTTGGCTTATTTTTTAAAAACATTTGATAAAACGCCTATAGAAACCGACATGGCCCAAAAAACTTCTAACACCTTTAACATTTATGAGAGGGGGAAGTTTTTCAATCACATCGACCTTAGCTTTGTCGACTTCAATTCCTTTACTAGAAATAACGTGTCCCAAAACAACTCCACTTTTAACCATAAAATGACTCTTTTCCCAACTTAAGGTCAAGTTAGACTCAATGCAACGCTTGATAACTTGAGATAAATTATGGAGACAATGAGAAAAAGAATCACCGAAAATAGAAAAATCATCCATAAATACCTGAAGGAAGTCCTCGAGCATATCGAAAAAGATAGAGAACATGCACCTTTGGAAAGTCCCAGGTGCATTGCAAAGTCCGAAAGGCATACGTCTAAATGCAAAGGTGCCGAATGGACATGTGAATGTGGTCTTTGGCTGATCCTCGGGAGCAATTGCTACTTGGTAGTAGCCGGAAAGGCCATCTAGAAAGCAATAGTATTGGTGACCGGAAAGGCGATCAAGGATTTGATCAATAAATGGCAACGGAAAGTGGTCTTTCTTGGTCACGACATTGAGTCGCCGGTAGTCAATGCACATTCTCCACCCGGTAGTAATACGGGTGAGAATCATCTCCTTCTTTTCATTCTCGATAACAGTGATACCGCCTTTCTTTGGCACCACGTGGATAGGGCTCACCCATTCGCTATCGGCTACCGGAAAAATAAGCCCTTCGGAGTAGAGCTTAAGTACCTCCTTCTTAACAACTTCCATCATATTCGGATTAAGCCGTCTTTGGCTATCCCGAAATGGCTTGGCACCATCCTCCAAAACGATCCGATGCATACATGTGGAAGGGCTAATACCTTTAAGATCTCCGAGACCCCATCCGATGGCTTGTTTATTCGTTCGGAGTACCTCAAGTAGCTTTCTTTCTTCATCCTTTGCAAGTTCGGCGAAAATAGTTACCGGCTTTTGCATTTTCTTCATCTAAAAATACGTACTTGAGATGTCGAGGTAGTTCTTTCAGCTCTAGGGTTTGTTTTGCATCGGGCTGGTCGGTTGTGCAAAGGTCGACGGTTGGTTCTTTGTTATCTTCAAAATCGGGTATGTACCTTGCTTCCCATTCTTGTTGGGTTATCTCTTCGACAACGGGTCAGTTATATCAACAAATGCGCATTCCTCCACAAAATTCACCGAGGATGCAGATATGGCCTCTCGGACTGAAATAGATACGGACTCGCCCAACACTGTCATATTTAGCGTCCCATTCTTTACGTCAATAAGCGTGTTAGTGGTGGCCATGAATGGTCTCCCGAGAAGGATGGTGTGATCCTTCCCATTCTCGTGCACTTCTCCCACGTCAAGAATAACGAAATCTACGGGGACAATAAGCTTACCCACACGAACTAGCACGTCTTCCACCACCCCTTTTGGATATCATATTGAACGGTCGGCGAGTTGGAGGCACATACGGGTTGGTCTCAAGTCTCCGAGACCGAGCCGTTGGAATATTGAAAACGACATAAGGTTGATTCCGGCTCCTAGGTCGAGCATCCTCGAAGCTTATTTTCCATTCCCGAGGGCTATTTTAATCACGAAACCCCCAGGATCACGTTCCTTCTTGGGTAAGTCATGGTGCATGGTGCTCGCCGCCTCGTACACCACAACTTTCTCACCGTCTTCAAATCTTCTTTTCTTTGTCACCAAATCCTTGAAAAATTTCACATAGGACGGCATGTTTTTAATTACGTCGAGAAGCGGTAAGTTGACATTGACTTTGGACAGCATGTTATATAAATCTCGGAATTGCTTTTCTTGTATTTCGTCCCGAAGTCGTCCCGGAAAAGGGATACGTGGTTTGAATGGATTTGTGGACTTATGTAAAAATGGACCTCCCACCAGCTTTTTCGAATTTGTCTGTGTGCTATCCTCAACATCATCATCTTTGGGCTCATCTGTTGGCTTTGGATCCTCCGTTTCAGGCATTTCGACTTGGTTGTTGACAACTTTGCCGCTCCGTAAAACGGTAATCGCCTTTGCTTGCTCGGGTTGGCTCGGAAGCTTCCCTTTGTCGGGTCCGGCCTCCAAATTGCCAACTCTTGAAGTGAGTTGGCCAATTTGAGTCTCCATGCGCTTGATGGTGGATTCTTGGTTTGTCATAAATTGGAGGATTTTATCCAATTTTCCATCTTGAGTGGCCGAACTAGGACCAGCCCCTTGGTTTTGCATCCCTCCCATAGGACCCCTTTGCGGTTGCTGTTGTTGAGGGAAGTTTGGTCTCATGTGTTGTTGAGGAGCGAAGTTTGGCCAGTTCGGTTGTTGCATGAAATTTTGTCGGGGTTGTTGGGTGTTGTTGTTATTTGACCACGAGAAGTTGAGGTGATTTCGCCATCCAGGATTGTATGTGTTGGAGTACGGATCATTGACAGGTTGGTTTTGGTAGCCTTGGAGAGCATTGGCATCAATATGTGGCTCTCCGAACTCTTGGTCGAAAGTGGATGGGCACACTTCAGAACGGTGCCCATGTACTCCACATGTTCCGCATGATTCGATCGTCATGGCTTGTACCGATTGGACACTTCTTGCATTAAGTAACCTCATTTGTTCCGTAAGCTCGGCAATTTGATGAGCTATCATATCTTGTCCGGGTGCTATCTCGTGAACCATTGCCTTCTTTCCTCGGCTACTCTTTTGAGACGAGTTTGTACTCATCGTCTCAAAAATCTCCATCATTTCTTCAGCCGTTTTTGCTCCTATGTCGCCACTGGCCGCATTATCCACCATGTACTGAAAGTTTTGATGGAGAGATTCGTAGAAGCTATTCATCAACAAAGCGGGTGGAAAATTGTGGTGTGGGCATTGCCGTTGAAGATCTTTGAAGCGTTCCCACGCCTCATGTAGTGGCTCGTTTGATTGTTGGGCGAAAGAGACAATTTGAGATCGGAGCTCTTGTGTCTTTTGATGAGAATAGTATCTCCCGATGAATTTCGAATACACTTGCTCCCAAGTAGTGAGGGAGTCGGGAGCAAGCGTCACAAACCAAGCCTTAGCCCGGTCTTTAAGTGTTTCGGGAAAACACCTCATCTTCAATTGGTCTTCGTTGAGCCCATGGAGTGGGAAAGTTTGTAGAACATTATAGAACTCACGGATAAAATGGAGTGGATCTTCGTTTGGAAGCCCGTGGAATGATGGAAGTTGATTGTAGTGAATGGTTTTGAGCTCGTAGTTCCGAGCCGCTGGTCCCAATCGGATGCATGAAGTCACCGGCCCAATCATTGGTTGGGCTAGGTCACGGAGAAGGTATCACGGAGGGTTGTTCACTTCCTCTTCATCGTTACGTGTCATCTTGCTTTGGTCGTTGGAATTTGAGGGTTCGAGAGAGAGATTGGCGAACAAGTCTCGTAAAGCCTCGTCAATGGATTTGTCCTTCGGAATGAGCACAGGACCACTCCTAGTACGCATACAAAAACAAAAGTTTGTTACGAGAACCTGCTAACGAAGAAGAGTGAACTACAAATACTTCAAAAATACTAAAAATAAAACAAGAAAAACAAGGAGAAACACAAAAAACAATAAATCACAAGAACAAAGAGAAATACGAAAAATGAGTGAATAAACGCACGAAATAATTCCTAAACCTTCCCCGGCAACGGCGCCATTTTGTTTGCAATATTTTTGGGCAAAAAGTAACCGAGTTACCCGACTCGGGTCGTTCTCAAAGGAAGATTAGCCGGACTAAATCGAACGTTTATTTAATTTACAAAAGAGAAAATAATCCTAAACATTCTAATTCAATTTGATGATGGGATTTTTAAACTAAATTTTACAACTTTTAACAATAATAAAATAACTAAAATGACAATAATATCCCAAGCTATTATTAATGCTATCGTTTTACTCGTAAAACTTTCAAACGAAAAATTCATTTTACTAGTAAAAACTTTCGAACAATAAAGTTGTTTTACTCGTAAGAACCACTCCTAGTACGCATACAAAAACAAAAGTTTGTTACGAGCACCTGCTAACGAAGAAGAGTGAACTACAAATACTTCAAAAATACTAAAAATAAAACAAGAAAAACAAGGAGAAACACAAAAAACAATAAATCACAAGAACAAAGAGAAATACGAAAAATGAGTGAATAAACGCACGAAATAATTCCTAAACCTTCCCCGGCAACGGCGCCATTTTGTTTGCAATATTTTTGGGCAAGAAGTAACCGAGTTACCCGACTCGGGTCGTTCTCAAAGGAAGATTAGCCGGACTAAATCGAACATTTATTTAATTTACAAAAGAGAAAATAATCCTAAACATTCTAATTCAATTTGATGATTGGATTTTTAAACTAAATTTTACAACTTTTAACAATAATAAAATAACTAAAATGACAATAATATCCCAAGCTATTATTAATGCTATCGTTTTACTCGTAAAACTTTCAAACGAAAAATTCGTTTTACTAGTAAAAACTTCTGAACGATAAAGTTGTTTTACTCGTAAGAACTTTCAAACAAAAAGGTCGTTTTACTCGTAAAACTTTCAAACGAAAAATTCGTTTTACTAGTAAAAACTTTCGAACGATAAAGTTGTTTTACTCGTAAAAACTTTCAAACGAATAAAATGAAAAATATAATTTATAATGAATTTAAAAGTTTAGGGTATTGGGGATAATCAATTCCGGTTTTATTAACATTTATTAATAATTAAATTACTCGATTAACCGGTTCACTTAATTACTCATCTAGTACTTTATCCATACTAACTCTCGTAATATACGGATGAACTTTAAACAAGTGAATTAGTAAAACGGTTAACACATAAACAATACGTTTCCGAACATGTCTATTCTAAACAAATCAAGTTCTATCAATTTCGCCTCTATCGATTTTGAAATTGATTATGTAGATTAAAATGGTGATCAATCATTTAACCATAAGATTAATATAATTTGTAAAGATTGAGTAATAAAAATACTTATAAATGTTAATAAACCAAAATGATTATCCCTTAACCCTAATTAGGAAATTAGTTGATCAGAGTAATTTTAACATACAAATTCTTATGGAAATAAACCATTGATAACATAAAATGAAAACAAAACTTACTATTGATTCACAAGCAAGAGGAATTGCAAACTTAATGTCTCAACACATCAACAATCTTCAAACTTATATACTTCAAAATAAGAACTTACAAATGTAGAAAGTTTGAAAGATAAATGATAAATTACATAAAATGTTGGATGCCTTCCATAGATGAATAGGTTAGCTATTTATAGAGTTGAATAAAACATGATTCATCTAATTATCAACCAACATAAACCAAACTCCAACAATAAATCAACCAAAATCCAACCATAAAAAAACTGCTAAAATCGCCCTCCGCGGCCGCGACGAGCTCCGCGGCCGCCGGATTTCAATGCTGAAGTTTGGGACTTGGAGCTGTTTTGGTCGCCGCGGCCGCGGCGAAGAAAATCTCGCGGCCGCGGGGACCAAAATCTGCACTGTACCATCTTACGATTTTTTCTCATTCGGGTTCGTTTTAACTCGGAATTGAGTTCCGTTTTTTCCTACGCGTCTCTAACGAACCCCTCTATCCAATGATGCTTGCAAACCACACTATTGCTCAGAGTACAAATTATGTGGAATTTCCAACCTTTAAAGGGTCGGTAACTTGCGCAGCTTCGCGTTTTGGTTCCGTCCGGATTCATCCGAACTTAAAATCAAACTCCGTTTTTCCTATGTGTAGCCAATGAGTCCATCTACATAACCATGATTGCCCGATACATGTCATTCCCTCACAATGCCTCCGACCTGCACACAAAAAAACAAGAAGAAAAATGGGAAAAACACACGAAAAACACAAAGGAAACCAAAATAAAGGAAAACACAGAATAAACTATAAAACGAAATAAAAACCAACTAAAAGACATAAAACGGAGGGAAAAAATGATAAAACAATAACGAAAATCGCAACAAAAATGGTCACAACACTAATCCATCTAATATCATTGTGCTTCATTCATTCTACCACCATATTCATTGTTTTTTAACCCAAACCACAATATCATGAAGAGGTTGACCGACTACAACTTAATTGCAAACAAACGTCAAAAAGATAATGTTTCTCCACCATATGGTACACTATGACATTGAGTCCTATGTCTAATATCGAATTTGTTCAGTAGTGTTACCTTTTTTCGCTCTTACCGTGTATTCCAAATCTGTATGTGTTTGATTATCGCATTTTATAGCCCAAATGAATTACTCCTATTATAACAGATAAAAATATGCATAGACAAAGTGATAAATGTTAGAATATCTCATATTTCATTAGAGATATGAAATTTATTGATAAAATGAGATGCTAAAGTACACTTATCTCTGCATGTGTTTGATTCTCGAATTTTAAAGCACAAATGAATTACTATTGTTTCAACAAATGCTTTTAACTGCAAAACCATAGTGCCAAATCTTAGAATATATCATATTCCATTAGAGATATCAAAAATATTCAAATAGAAGATGCTAAATGACACTTATCTCTTCTGTTTACAATCCGGTCGTCTCTTCTTCAATTGATTTTACCTGCAAAAGATTAGAAAAACTATTAGAACATCTTTGTACCCAAAAATAATATATCATTACATTAATGTGATCACTATTATACATAGGAGCATACTTTTTATTATTTAAAACACAAAAATGTCAATGATTTGAAATATTACCTTTGTGTATTGTCTTCGTTTGAAACTGAGTAACACAACATCAAATATGAATAGAAATAGAAATAGAAATTTAAACACAAAACTGAAAATTTAAAATGAAACTATGACTTCATATTAAAAGTATATATTAATATTAGCTAAAATTTCGAAAAAACGAAAAAAAAAACAACTAAGATATACAGTTTCATACTTGAATCCCCGAAAAATTTCAAAAATTTAAACATAGACAAAGTTAGTTTCAGAGAGTGCTATATTTTAACAGAACGGCCTTATTCGACCTTTTAAGATCACTCTACGGGTGTTCAACGTAGGTCGGAAGATAACTCTAAGGTGAATATCATAATATAAACTGATTAAAATTTAAATAAACCAAAAAAACTACAAATCTTTACATATCAGTATTCTAATTACGATATTAACCATAAAAAATGTTCAAAAATTTTTTAAAAAATGGAAAGTTTGTAGATCTTCCAAGATCTATAATGTAATCGAACGAAAACACTACAAATATGTATATATCTGTATAGATCTAGACAAAAACACTGCAGATCTGTATAGACCCTGTGTAGATCTACACGATTGTAATAGAAATATTATTAAAACAATAAAAAAAAATTTGTAGATCTGCAAATATCTATCATGTAATCACCCGATTTGTACCTAGATACAATGAATTTGTAAATCGGTTTGTTAAAATCGGGACGATTTCACTTTGTCGTCTCCCTTTTGATTCGAAAAAAATGAAATCTCAGTTGTTTTTTCGGTAACGGCTTCAAAAAACAGAATAGGATCGCCGGAGAAACATCGAATTTAGAAAAATTATCGGCGAAAAATAATCGAACATTTCAGTAGAGAGATTAAATGAGAGAGAGAGAGAGAGAAACGGTCGACAGAATTTGGGAGAGACGATAGAAATGGCGAAATCGCAGCTGGAACTAGGGGTTGATCTATT